TCAGCTCTGTGCTTCCCACGAATTCACGTATGTTTATTTTCAAATTTTCCTCAAATCAAAAATAAGCATTGCTAAAGAATCAAAATGTCTGAGCTCCATAACAGTGTTTGTAACTAATTACGCTTTAACATGGAATAATCAGTAACGCGAAAAGTAAATTTTAAAAATATTTCAGAACTGTAACCTCTCTAAAAAATGTTTGCTTAGCCTCAAACATTTCAGAAGGCTGTATAACATACAAAAACAAACTGTTAGATGATGTGAGCCTGTTTTATTGGTTGCTCATAATTCCTCTATCATTTAAGCCAGGGTTGTCCAACTTAATGTGGCCCAAGGGCCACTTCAAAGAAAAATGCAGTTTGGAGGGCCGCATTATAAAATCTTTCTATACAACATTATTACTGATATTTAATAGGTATATACTATACTATATGGTATACAAAAATAGTTTTTCTATTATTTTTATTTATTAAAAAAAATATGAAATTACAAAAAAATCAGTGGGACATTTGAGGATGTTGGTTTTCTAATACTAATGTATCAATATATTAATATTTGTTGTTGATAAACGAAGTAACTGAGTAAGTGACTTATCAGAGAGGGAACATCTATACTCTGACTTGATAAATTTCATGTTGGAAAAGCTGCTTTCGCAAAGATACGTGCTTCCCATCATTGATCCCATTGTAAGTCCTAAGTTTCGCAAGTTGGGGTATCGTTCTCCTGGCAGTAACTTAAAAAAGTCCAAGCCAGTTTCAGTTCTTCCTTGGTAAAAAGGATCTGATTGCAAATCACACAATTCCAGTTGAAGGCCTGCTCTGCTTACGTTCTCAACAGAAATTATTAGTGGCTGAGTAAAAACTGAAATGTTTCGATTTTTTTAAAGTCACTAAATCGATTTTTGAATTCTTCTGCAATTGTGTCAATGTATTTTATATGAGGTAAATATGAAACTTCCTCAAAATCCTTCATTTCTTCGAAATGTTCTTTATAACTAAAGAATCATTTTTTGTAATGAAGACTTGAAAAGCTTAATTTTATTCTTAAACCCATTTATATGTCCAAATAAGTTGGCAATATTCTGCTGTTTTCCTTGTAGCAAATTCAATTCGTTAAGGTGAGATGTCATGTCTGTTAAAAATGTAAGGTCTGCTAAAAGTTGTGCATCTGATTTTCCGGTTCCGTAGTGTCGGAATTCACTTCATTTTTAAGGAAAATAGGAATTTCCTTGCGTAGAGCGAAAAATCTTTGCAAACACTTTCCGGCGCTTACCCGACGAACATCGGTGTGAAGTAACAAGTCCCCATATGTAGCATCCACTTCGGCCAAGAAATCACGGAACTTTCTGTGAGTCAAAGCACGATTGTCCCCTCTAACAATATTAGTTATTTTAACAGCCACTTTCATGACATTTATTTGACGTAAAGATTTTCCACATAAGCTCTCTTGGTGAACAATACAATGTATCACAGGACAGTTGATGCTGTTTTGTTTCGATAGTCGTGCAAATCCAATTTCAGTCATTTATCAAATCCCCGGTAGTCTGACACCAACTTATTCACAGCTTCAAAAATATCTGTACCCTTGGTTGTACCATGGAGAGGAATGAGGTCAAGCATCTCCAATGCTACACTGAAGTCGTCTTGAATAGTTCGGATAAAAATTACAAGCTGGCTAATGTCAGACAGATCAGTGCTTTCATCCAGGCATAGCGAAAAATATTTACATTTTTCAACCACGTCACGCAATTTTTTGGATACATGTTCATTGATATTGTTTGATGCGATACTCAAATTTTAATTCATTGAATTGTTTCGCCATTACTATTGCACACTTTTTGATAAGCACTCCATCACTAAAAGGTTTTTTGCCTTGACCATTTCCAGCGCTATTTTGTAAGAGGCGGCAATACTGCAATTGTTAGCGTCAGATTTTTTGAAAAAACTTGTTTGTTGTTTTAGCTTTTTCTTGTATTCCGTTATGATAGCCTGCCTCGAGTCCCCTGAATATTGCCGAAACGTTTTCTCGTGTAATGTCGTTTCATATTATATTCTTTAGGAACCGATAGTACTTGCATACCTACAAACAATGCACTGAATTTTATTATTATTGTTTGAGATTAAATATTCTGATTCCCAACGGTCATTAAAAACTCGATGTTCGTTCGTTATTTTTCGTTTCTGCGAAGACATATTTCACGGAGTATTTCACTTAAAAAGGCTTTAGAATTGTTGTATACTGAAACGCACTAGCACTAGAACAAAACTGCCTGTCCCGCTTGATTCAACCTTCCTATATACGCGCCCGTGGCTTCTCGAAGATTCGGGGATGATCGAGAGATCGGTCCAATTTCCAGTAAATTCGCTGTGGCCTGCTATCGGTCGCCAGTGGCGTCACATGTTATTGTATTTTATCGTTAATGTAAGAATTGTGCATATTCGGTATTTGAGAGTAATTTATACATGTGATGTATACATGACCCGTGAAGCGGGCCGCAAGAAAGGAGTTCGCGGGCCGCATGCGGCCCGCGGGCCGTATGTTGGACAGCCCTGATTTAAGCAACTCGCGAATATAAAGAAACATTACCCACTATGATATCACAGCATGCCAATCCCCAAATTTTTTCCAGCCGTTTTAGAGATCACGAAAGTGAAATGCAGACCGACCTTTTTCATCTAGTGCCACAAAGTTTCAATAGGTGACAGATCTGGACTGTCAGGAACACATTTCAAAAGTGGTACATTATTTTCTTCCATCCATTTTATAGCCTTTTTGAGGATTGGCACGCTGCACCATCTTGCTGAAACACAAAATCTTGGCCGGATGTCAAACATTCTTCCATCACTGGTAAAAGCGATTCTTCTAAAATTGCCAAATATTTGTTTGTATCCACATTTCCATCAATAAAATGAAGTGTTCCTACTACTTTTGATGACATACTGCCCCAGACCATAATGGATGCTGGAAATTTCACTTTTCTCTTCAGACAGTCAACATGGAATTTTTTTGCGAATAACTGCGATTGTCACCAACACAAACTTCGAATCGGGCCTCATCACTTCATTGTATTGCACACTATTGTTGAGGTGTCCATTGTCTATGTTCTGTTAGCCCATCTAAGCCGATTTTTCGTAGCAGTGGAGTTAATAGTGTCTTTTCTTTGGCCTATAAACAAGTTGTGCAACATTAAGGTTTTTACTTCACTTTTTTTATAAGAAAACTTACATTGCAATTGCTAAATCCCAGTTTGTGGGCTTCTGTATGAGTTGTGGACCTCGAAATTCTCCTTCCAACAGCGACACTCCACAGAGCACTTAACTGTAAATAATTGGCACGCCTGTTTTTCACGATTATTCTTCTTAATGCTCTTCGGTCGGCATTTGTGATATTACTTTTTTTCACATATCGTGGCTTAATATTAACCGAACCAGTTACGTTATATCTGCTAACAATATTTCTCACACTTTACCGCGATAAGTCTAACAAAGTTGCAATTTCTGAGTTTGATTTCCCAGAATTACAAAATTTAATTATCAGTAACCGAATTTTCTCACTAATAACCTTTCCTCTACCCATTTTGAAAACCTTAACTGCCCAAAACTATTTTAAGCATATTCTGACAGCTGTGATTAATAACAACAATTGTCATGGCTTTTCTTTTTCACAGCCACCTATGCTTTATAGACTTATTTTGCATTGAAATGAAAATAGGTTGATATGCTGTAATTGCAACATGTGTTATTTTTATGCTGCAAATTTGATTAGGGAGTGATAAAGTTGGTGTTTTCTACTATATATTATCAAAATATTCATTGTTAATATTTTAAACCTATAACACCCTGCTACATTTTTATTATTTCTGTTTGATAAGAAAAAACTAGGATTTCAATAGTTGGGCCAACTGAAGTGGGAAGGGGCTCGTATATTTACGTGTTGTAGACATCGCAAAACATGAAGAAACGTTTGACATTCTAAAATCTCGCGGTCACAGTAACTCCCTCCGGGCCGGCCTTCCTTCAGTGCAAGGTTTTGTTCCTTTTCTAAAAATCTTAATTTCCTTTTCTGAAAAATCTTAATTTTTTATTTTACCATCTATTTGGATTTCGCCAAAATTGGGTGGGGACAATTGTTTCCAATAGGACGTTGCAGGTTCCCATACAACTAACTATCAAACTTGGCACCGACACGAATAATCAGCTGAAATTGTGATGTCAATAGGTCGCCTGCTGCGGTTTGAATCCATCGGAGTGTTTTCGTTGGGGAGCCGTTGAGGATGAATATTTTGCTAACGATCGAGATACAATTAAGGCCTTTTAACACAAAATTGAAACTGCTATTTAAGAGACTTAGGGACTAACAATCCAAAAAGTACTTGAAAATTGGGAATGAGATACTGTCTGAATAGCCTAGGCCAGCTATTTGAATTATAATGTGTTTCACTCTTGAACGTCGAGGTTAAGCTTTTTTAATAAGACCAGGAATTCAAAAAAGTATCGATTAGTTTTATTTTCATAGTTAACTCAGATTCTAAATTTTAAATAGCGTACAGTATACAAAATAGGTTAAAGGGTGCAAATTCAGTAATAGCGTATACATATACAAATTAAGAAACTAGTCTACAGAGTGTATAGGGTAATCCGGAAATAGCCGCTGGAATAAGGGAACATGAGTCAGACTGTACGAAAGAAGAATAAAAACATGAAAGATCCTGAAGATGGGGATAATGTAGAAAAATAGAGTGATAACAACGAAGAACTGTCGGACGGAAAAGAACGATGGTCTTGCCCAGCCTGTTGTAAACAGGGACGAGTTACCCGAAGCGGATCCACCTCTTCCACATGCGGTGCTCGTTCAGAAACCACTGCTCCTTTACAACCAGATCAGTCTACCCCTACCGACACTCTCACCCTTATACTTAACCAATTATCAACTATGGCCAGTGACATAAAGGATATTAAGAACTCTCAATCTCAACTCAGAACTGATGTTGCTTATTGTAGAAACTTGCTACAGCAACATTCGGACTCGATCTCTCGGCATGAAGACTTAATAGCGGCCTGCGAAACCAACATACAAAATATCCAGGTTACTCAAACAGAGCTGTCTTCTAACATTGCTAATATTGAATCGAGACTTGCAAGATCTATGGAGACGATGCACTCAGGCAACTGCGCTTCTTCTACCCCTATTGCCCCAAGCTCCCAAGCTGAGACAATGGAGTTATTTAGACGTTCCCACAATATCATTCTGAGGGGTATAGCTGAAGGGAACGATGACATAAACATAGTATCAGAGATAATTAGGCATATTGAACCATCTGCCGAAAATCACCGACTCAGCATCACTCGCCTTGGCAGAACAACTTCAAGCAATCGTTTAATTAGAGTTGTGTTTTCCTCACCTATTATCGTCAGCAATATTTTGCGGAAGAACAACTCCATCCTTAGCCACCCCACGCTTCGTCACGTAAAAATCTCTGACGACAAAACCAGAGGTCAAATGCAAGAACTACAACACCTTCGCGAAGAGCTTAGACGTCGTCAAACAACAGGCGAAAGTAATATTACTATAAAATACGTTCGTGGTAAACCTTCTATAGTACACACAGCTACCCAGGAGATTACACCTTCAAAAAACTGATAAATTCCGTGGCAAACTGGACGGTTTGTTACACTAATATACAATCTCTCTTTTCTAAGCTACTTGAACTCCAAGCATTTGTTCGAGACAATAATCCAACGTTCGTTTGCCTTACTGAAACATGGCTCCATTCCAACGTGTCCGACTCTTCCATCAATTTGCCTGGATACTATTTATACAGAATGGATTCACCACGCACTCCTGGTTTTGGTGGAGTATGCATTTATGTTCGCACGGAAATCGCGTCGGCTTTCTCGGTATCTCCCTCTTTCAGTCCTTTCGATGGCATTGACAATCTATTTTTGGAATTGAGGTGCCCAAATTTCAGCTTCACGATACGCTGCATATATCGGCCACGGCCCTGTTTGGGAGACACACACCTGTGCAATCTCATTTCAGATCTCTTAAATAAAAACACCAACCTTTTCATAGCTGGTGACTTCAATCTACGTGACATTAGCTGGCCTGTCAACCATTCCTGAATGCAATTCTTCTTCTGCTGCTTACATCGACTTGCTACGCAACTCTAGCATATCTCAACTTGTTGATCGTCCAACGAGATTCAGGGAAGGACAGACGCCTAGGGCTCTGGATTTGATATTCGTTAAGGACGGTGACTTTGTTTCTAATTTAGATTATTTGCCACCTTTTGGCAAGTCTGACCACTGTTCACTTTTATCTTCTCTCCAGTTCAATATAAATAATCGTTCTACAACCGATAAGTTTAAAACCATCAAAATTGTAAACCACGATGCTCTTAACCAAGCCCTGTCTGAAGTCAACTGGCCTGCTTTGCTTAACAACCGTAGCACCCAAGATATGTGGGACACTTTCGCTCAACGAGTCCTAAGCGAAACGGCTGACAATACTGTTGAAAAGAAGGTATACTGTGACCCCTCAAAGCCCTGGATCAACTCTAACATATCGAGGATGCTTCGTTACAAGAGATCTTTGTGGTAACAGTTTAGGAGGAGTGGCCATTCAGCAATCTACGCGGACACAGCTTCAAACTGCATAAGGAGCCATTTAAAATAACAGTCCGACAGTGGTTTCTTCCCAACCGCATATTCCACACCTGGAATAGTTTACCTGAAAGTGTGGTTGGTGCTACTTCAGTTAATAGCTTCAAAGTGCAGTATGATAGCTGGAGGAGTGTACAAACTTTATAGCTATGAACTGTCTTTTTTTATTTTTTTCTATTTGATGTATTTGTGTTACGTGTCCATACACTATATTTACTGCATGAGCTTATAGTACTGTGTACTCTGCTCATCTCAATTATCATAATAATAATAATAATAATAACTTTTGGAGTTAGACGTAAGGGGCCGTTCAAGTATTACGTGAGTACTATAGAGGGGCGGGGGGGTCTTTGCTTTGCTTATTTTGGATGACATGGGGGGTAGGGGAGTCTAGATGATGATTACGTCATCGGTAGTTATTTACTTTTTTACACGAATGGCAACCCTCACATTGTCTTTGCTTGAAAACGAAACGTATTTTCGGGGTTTCCCTCGAATAATGCATACGTTTAGTGAACAGCGCGCGGTAATTCACCTACTCGCTTTAGAACCGAGTAGGGGAATTACCGCGCGGTGTTCACTTGTCTAAATTTTCCTCTACCAGTGTATTGTTTCGTTTGGATACTATAGCGAGTAGACGTATTGTAAGCATAGTAAAGCAAGTTAACATTTGTGTTACCATTGATTCCATTAGCCAAAGTTTAATGTTTAAATAAGATGTCGTTTCACATAGACAAATCCAAGTTATTCCAAAAATTGTTTGAAAGTTTTAAAAAATCTCATACAAGTACGAAAGTACAAAATGTACAAAAGTTAGTTAACGAAGTGTGACGAAATTACAAATTACAAGCAAAATCCGACAAGGAACTAGATATTATTGTATCTAAGAGAATCGAAGAAGAATTGCAAGCGGCGACTAAGAATAAATCCAATCTACTAAATTTTTTTGAGGAAGAAGATAATATAAAACCCGGTAATGAATCACAACAGCAATGCGAAATTAATGAAAATACAGATAAACACAGAGCAAAACCTCTCGAAAAAAATCTGAATGTTTTATATTCTGCCAGAGTTACTATGCCAAGCCGTGCTGAAGTTGATAAACAGATCATTAAGTTGCGCGAGGAAATAAATACAGCAAAACAGTCTTTAACACATTGACTGCGAACTGGGATGAGGATACCCACCTCAGAAACTGAAATACTTTTTTCCTTTTTTTGGAAGCCGGCAGAGAGCGTCGAAAGACGCCGTTCGCCTCCCACCACAGGAGCGGAGGGCGTCTTTTGACGCTGTTCGCACTGAACGTGTTAAACAGGAAGGTTCAAAACGCAGTTGCCCAGAAGAAACACAGGAATGATATGAAAAGAAAGTTAGAAGATATTTGTCATGAAAATCCAGAAATAAAAAAATGACTATCTCTGAGGGATTCAGTGGGCCGTACTAATCTTGAAAGCAATCAACATTAACTATTGAAAATAATCGCGGATATAGCTTTAATTGGGAGTGTAGCAGATGATAGAAGACGAACGGAATCAATTCGCAGCGTAAAAACTCTTGATGAACTCACACAAGGATTACGTAAAGTAGGATTTGACATTAGTCGCAGTGGGACATATCTTCGTTTGATTCCCAGAAAATCTAATTCTGCAGAGGGACGAAGACATATATCGACAGTCCCTGTTAAGCTCATGCGGGCTCAAATTGATCACCACAAGAGACACTTCGATAGCAAGTTTGCTGAAACATCAATCCATTATTTAGAGAACATAGCATCCATACTTGGACCAGATCAAGTATTTTTCATATCTCAAGATGATAAAGCTCGAGTCCCTATTGGCGTAACTGCGGCAAATAAGCAAGCACCTCTTCCAATGCACATGGAATATAGAATCAAATTGCCTGATCATGATTGGGTAATCGCTGAGCGTCATAAATTAATACCATATGTTTATGCTAGTATCAAAATCACTTCCAATATGCTAGGACAACCGCAAGCCGTTGGATATTCTGGACCAACATACATAGCTATTCGAAGTGGAAAGCATAGTTCATCTACTGCTAATACTCATGCTCAGGATTTCGAGACGCTTCGAATTTGCAGGAAATGTATTAGCTGAAGTATGAAGTTCAATGGAAATTGATGGCTATAATGTTAATGCAAAATATGTTAGGACAGGTGAACAAGATCTTCCTGATTTTCCAGATTTTAAATGGTATTCAGAACATGTGCGTAGGAGCCAATACTTGCTTCAAATTGTAAAATGTAGAAATACAGAATGCTGTCGTCCAAGAAGTGGCCTATTTAGATTACTAGACAATAGGTTTCTTACACTACGTGTAAAAGTAAAACAAACAGTTGATGACTTGGTTTTGGATGAAGGAGGGCAATTACTTAATCTTCCAGTCAATTTAGCTCTACGCTTAAGTGCTTGACTCAAAGATTTCCTGCAAATACCCTACGATTATTTTTGTCCGACGGTAAAATTGAGGCTATCAAGTCGAACATGCAAAACGTATGGTCTTTATCATGCTTCTGTCAAGTCACTAAATCGTCACATCGAAAATATCCATAAAAAAGTAAACACGCACACTGATAGGAAAGTTAGACCTGTAAGAGTCGCTACTCGACGTGCTAATGAACTGATGTGTATTATTCAAAATTTAGAGCACCATGATGTTGAATGGCTCGACGAGATCGACGTAGACATTCCAAAATCCGATGAAAGCGAGCAAACTCACAACACTGAGCAGCAATCGAAGCAATCCAATGTCATCGAAAACTTAGAATCATGGATTCGGGTTTCATGGACTGAAGACCGTTAATTTGAATTTAATATATGTACCAAAAATTTAAAATAAGTTTGTTATGTTAGCAAGATATAATATTTTTGTCCTTTACTCTATGTTGAATACCGTATCAGTAAAATATAATCTCTATCCTAAATCTATTTTCTTATTTTTCAAATTATAATTATAACGTTATAATTATTATAATATTAAAAAAACAATACATTAATTGACAAATGTTTACGTAAGCATGGGGGGAGGGGGTAAGAGATTTGCTTACTTTTGCTGACAAGGGGGATGGGGGGGTAAATAATTGTAATAAATCTGCTTACGTAATACTTGAACGGCCCCTAAGCTCAAAAATATTTTTGCTCCAACCAACCGATCTTGTAGGTGGGATTAATCTACGCTGTTGTATGCATATACATATACTCGTTTTAGCTAATTAAGCCCACACAATGTTTATAAAATTCTACAGTTGGACTCTAGCTTTATCTTGATCGATGATGCCGAAATATAAAATTGAACATTATCCCTGAATAGCATAGCAAATCACCTGTTAGAGGTACCTAAAATTAGAGCCGGTCTATAAAAATAGCTAAATTGAATTACCCACCAGCCGAGTAGGGCTTGCAGCGATATCTAACCTTTCATTTTCGCCATTACCTGTCCATTTAGTTTATAGTCCAGTCAGCTTAGTATGCGATGCAATATCCTGATTGATCTCAAGAAAAATATATCATGCGAGAGTCACTGTATATCAACGGTTT